CTACCAGCCTATAACACTTTGCTTGTGGTATTTTCACTGGCCAGTTTGCTACTGGGCCTAGTTCAAGGTGTTGGTACTAACATATATGTCCCTATAAAGCTCAGAAGAAGATTACTTGAGACACCACCTTGTACACCCAGTAAATTGATGAAGTCTGCAGGATAATTTCTCTTGCAAGTTCCAAAGTTCTAAGAAGCCTGCTCCACAATACCTCAGAGCAGGGCTTTTAATGTGGCTGCCCCTGTTATGCCGCTGCCAAGATACAAACTGCTCCCACTTTTTGTTCCAAAGACTTTTCCAGCTGGATAGAACAAGGCCTTACTGCAACTGTCTACCTGTTACTGTTGCTTTTGTGTTTTTAACTGTTTTTAATTAGGTGCAAATTGCATCAAGACGGTGGTTTAGAAAGCAAATAATAAAGCAACAACAATGCATTTGACAGGATTCAGAATATTTGGGTTGGTGTGCCCCTCACCCCTGCCTTTTTTCTTCTTTCTTTCTTTCTTTCTTTCTTTCTTTCTTTCTTTCTTTCTTTCTTTCTTTCTTTCTTTCCTATTGTATATATTTTTTTAAAAAAATCAAAAGGTTTTAAAAAGAGTTCCTCTTTTTTAAAGAAGAAAAGAAAAGGCAGCCCTTGAGGGCCTTCTCGGTAGTGGCACCATCCCTGTAGAATGCCCTCCCTTCAGATGTCAAGGAGATAAAGAATTATACAACTTTTAGAAGGCAGCCCTGTATTGTGAGGTTTTTAATGTTTGTTGTTTTTATTATGTTTTTAGATATGCTGTAAGCTACTATAGAGTGGCTGGGGAAACCCAGCCAGATGGAGGGGGGGTTAATAATAATAATAACTGTCAGAGACTGCCTCCAGGTCCCAGCTCACAGAGGACCAACGCTAGCCAGTTGAACTGTACAAAAGTCTTTATTGAAGCATAGTTTCCATTTTCAAACCCTAGCGTGCGTCTCTACGTCTAGAGCCTAGACCGACGAAGCTCCGTCTGAGTCTCCGCCCCCTGTACACCAGCTTAAGACTCTAGCCTTACTCCACCTCTTCCGTCTCTCCTTCCGCCTCTGGGTCCTACCACCCCCCGGGGTCCCTTCCTTCCTGGACGCTTCGGAAGCGGACCCCTCGGACTCTTCCCCCTCCCTTCGGCGGGCTTTAGGACCTGGCTCCCTATCCGGGCTGCTCATCGCGCCACCCTCTTGTACATTTGAACTTGGCGCGCGCGCGCTGCCTCCGACCTTCCTTTTGACCTTCTCCTCACTCTCTGATGCAGGCGTGGCTAACCCTGACTCATGTCCTTCCGCTGACGGAAAGCTGCCTGATGCCGATGCCTGGGACTCCTCCCCCCTACTGCTCTCCGGTGGGGAAGCTGGTCCCGATTTCCAACTGCTGCTCTCTGAGTCCCCTCTGGCCCCTCCTTCCTGGGGTGTTCCCTCTGGCAACCCCCTAGCTCTAACCACGGGAGCCCCTTTCTGTGAATCCTCCGATTCGCTGGAGAGACTTAGAGACCTCGGGCGGCTATCATCGCTAACTTCTCCCTCGGATTCCTCCCCCTCGGTCTCTAATTCCTCCCTTTCCTGTCCCTCTGCTCCTGAGCCCCTGACAATAACTATTATTATTATTATTATTATTATTATTATTATTATTATTATTATTATTATTTTATGTTCCCAATGCTATGAAAGCATGTAACTTACAACCTTGTTCAGAAACCCTGTGGGTGAAATGATGTTTGTTTTTCTTTTAAAAAATGTTTTGATGAATCTCCTGCACTAATACTGTATTTCACTGGCTAACTAATGGCAAATTAAAGCTAATAAGGTTTGAGATAGATTAATCAGATGGAGTAGAATGCCTTTTGGCAAGGGTAATTATAATACACAATTTGTAATTAACAGTCAGAATGGTTATTTGCAGCATCCTGATTATGAACAATTAGAGGTGTGTGGGGACTCAATTAAGCTTGGTGTGGCTGGATTATAATTCAGGGATAGTAGCTCTCACCCAGAACAGAATTAAACTCAAGGAGCTTCAACCTTAGTGGCATGCCTTGCTCACGTTTAGTTGGCTGCCCCACTGCAGAAATGCTCTCAAACCCTGGACAGCCTTAGACAGGGCATGACAGCAAGTGTGGTCTTTTCCTCCTACCAGTATCAGTGCTTGATTTTGTACACCTTAGTAAGGCTTTAGTTATTGTTGTTGTTGTTTAGTCATTTAGTCATGTCCGACTCTTCGTGACCCCATGGACCAGAGCACGCCAGGCACTTCTGTCTTCCAGTGCCTCCGCAGTTTGGTCAAACTCATGCTGGTAGCTTCAAGAACACTGTCCAACCATCTCGTCCTCTGTCTTCCCCTTCTCCTTGTGCCCTCCATCTTTCCCAACATCAGGGCCTTTTCCAGGGAGTCTTCTCTTCTCGTGAGGCTGCCAAAGTACTGGAGCCTCAGCTTCACGATCTGTCCTTCCAGTGAGCACTCAGGGCTAATTTCCTTAAGAATGGAGAGGTTTGATCTTCTTGCAGTCCATGGGACTCTCAAGAGTCTCCTCCAGCACCATAATTCAAAAGCATCAATTCTTCAGTGATCAGCCTTTATGGCTTCTATATTCTTTAGTCATAAACCCTGTTAAAACTAAGTGTCCTTGGAGTGTTTGAAAGTGACTGCAGAACCAACATCTTACCTGTATATACCTACGCATCATTTGTTGCATTTTAATGAGGAGTCACAAGCACTTCAAAGGCACTCCCCTGGGTGCAAATATCACACAAAAGCTTGTCAATAAATTTAGAGTGTCCCCACCTCTTTCCTCAGTGATTATTCTCTGACTGCCAAGGCCCATTATTGATACACACATTAACAATTGACCATGCCCCTTTTAGTCCCTGCCAAGTAATCCTGAAAACTATTTGAAACTGCCTTGTTTGCAACCAGAATTGTATGTGACGAGCCAATTAGTGCATTTCAAAACATTTAGAATTTGTTGTTGCTTAAGGCACTAACCCTCGCCCGCAATTAATGTTGATATATGTAGTTAGCGATATTTTGATTTTGGGTATATTTATTCAGAGGAGAGATTACCACTCAGTTGTGGAGCACATTCTCTGTCTGAAGAAACTCCTAACCTCAAACCTGGGCATCTTCAGGATGGTAGAAATGGAAAGATCACTGTCCAAAACCTGAGAGAACCACAGCCAGTCAGTTTAGATCAGCCTTCCCCAACCTGGTGCCCTCCAGCTGTTTTGGACTGAAACTCCCATTAGCCCTAGTCAATATAGCCCAATGGTCAGGGATGATGGGAGTTGTAGTTCAAAATTTTGGGGAGGGCACCAGGGATTCAACTATGCAGCTGCAAATACGTTTTAAGTGTATTAAATGTCACATTCTACAAATGTAACACTAGATGATGGTGAGCTAATGGGAAATTCAATACAGTATATATTTTTAAACAGTTCTTTAAAATGCATTTTCACAGGGGTTTTTATATATGTCTAGATTCAGCCGAGCTTGGAGAAGATGAGTACAGAGGATACTGAGCTGGATTTACTGATTATCTTCTATTATTCTTTAGAATACATCTGAAGGCAGCCCTGTATAGAGAAGTTTTTAATGTATAATTATGTTTTAGTATATACTGGAAGCCTCCCAGAGTGGCTGGGGCAATCCAGTCAGATGGGTAGGGTACAAATAATAAAATTGTTATTAAATTATTATTACTATTGACTTTGTATAAGGCAGCTTGATATGACCAACTAATTGACAGCAGTATTTCAAAGTCTCGAGGGGAGGTCTTTCCTAGCTTTACCACATGAGACTTTTCCAAGCTGAGATTCAGCTTGGAACATTTTACATGGGGGGCAGGGAATCTACATTAAAATCACCAGCTGAGGTCATCCTCCAGCTGTACCCATCTGCTGAGATTCACAGGGACATGGACTTTTCTGTTGTGGCTCCCTGGTTGTGGAATGCATTTTATATGCTGGGAAAAAGAATTGCATATATTAAAGCCTTTTCATTATGAATGGCTGTTGGTTCTTATTTGAGTAGTGTGTCTTAAATAATAATAATAATATTTGTCTTGTATGTTAATTTGCTGCTGTTGTTAGAAGAAGAAGAAGAGTTTGGATTTGATATCCCGCCTTTCACTCCCTTTAAGGAGTCTCAAAGCGGCTAACATTCTCCTTTCCCTTCCTCCCCCACAACAAACACTCTGTGAGGTGAGTGGGGCTGAGAGACTTCAAAGAAGTGTGACTGGCCCAAGGTCACCCAGCAGCTGCATGTGGAGGAGTGGAGACGCGAACCCGGTTCCCCAGATAACGAGACTACCGCTCTTAACCACTACACCACACTGGCTCTCAGTGTTAGCCTTTGTACTGGTTTTTAATGTTTGTTAAAATACCTTGATGGAAAGGCACAGTTACAAAAAACTCCCCTAATAAATAAATATTCTTTATGATGGAGCTGCTGTGGCAGATAGGCAATTGTCAGCAATGTTGGTAACCACCAGCAATATTACAAGGAGCAAATACACTTGGATTCTGCAACTAATGGGGTTCTGTACCTGCTTATGGTTAGTTGAACTGGAGGAAGTTGATTAGTTAGAACAAGCAAGGCTTCAATAAGCAGCCTTCAGGGGTGTAAGGCGAGTTCCCTAATAACTAGGAGTTCTCCAATAAAGTCACTGAACACAAGCTAAACTGACATGGGCATTCTTTAATTGAAACAAGAGAATTTGTGCTAAGGGGATGCTCCACTAACAGGATTCAGAATTACTTGAGAAGCACTTGAGTGCCAACAACAACCATCCAATAAGTGGCATCTTCATGTCAGTTTGTAACAATTAAGATAATTAATGTGTATTTTGCATTACTTTCTCCTACAGAGAACACACTGTATCGACATTGATCTCAAACGTTAAAAAGTGTTTGTTAAAAAGTGTTTGGAAAATATTCACTTTTATTTCCTCTTCTTCTTCTTCTTCCTCCTCCTCCTCTTCTATTTCCAGCTCTACTATATGCAACAATTTTTGGTAATGTAACAACGATATTCCAGCAAATGTACGCTAATACAAATAGATACCACGAAATGCTAAACAGTGTCCGGGACTTCCTGAAACTCTATCAAGTGCCCAAAGGTCTGAGTGAACGTGTGATGGATTACATTGTTTCTACCTGGTCCATGTCCAGAGGCATCGATACAGAAAAGGTGAGCTGTCTTGATATTGGAAAGCTACCATCAAAGAAATGCTTTCTCACTGTTCCTTACTTGTAGCTGCTATTCTTGATTGTTGATTTTGGGTTGATTTTTTAAAAACTCACTTTTCCTTATATCAAATTCATCTTTGTCAAATGTAGAGACGTCTGAGTTCTCTGAAGTTTTCTCCACATACTGGCTTTGTAAGTTTCAAATTTTCATTGAGAAAAATATGGGGAAATTTGAAGAATGTTGCAATGCAACCCAGCAGCGCAGATTTCTTTCCCTCCTCCATTCCTTCTCTGTTTGTTTGTTGCCCATTGTGGTGGCTAATACAGTCAGGAGAATTTGGGAGATGTACCGTAGTTATCTAAGGGGTTTCTGTATTTGGGAAGCACATGATATATTAGCCGTGATGAAACTTAGCAGGTCTTTATATGGATGTGATGTTACTGCTGCAGACTAAGATTCCTCTCGATGTTACAGCCACAGAGTTCTCCTATGACAGCAGCCCTGAGGAGAAAATGAACCCACTCCCTCAATTGTCCCATGAAAAGGTGCAATCAGCTTCCTTGCCTTCCCTGAACATTGAGGAGAGACCTCTGCCACAGACTATCTAGAGGAGCAGTTCTCAACCTGTGGTTCCCCAGTTGTTGTTGGACTACAACTCCCATCATCCCTGAGCTCTGACCTTGCTAGCTAGGGGTGATGGGAGTTGCAGTTCAACAACATCTGGGGACCCACAGGTTGAGAAAGGCTGATCTAGAGGATCAGGAGAGTCCATAGGAGATATCACCACAGGCTGGAACCCTAAGCCCTAGAGGAAGCCAACTGTAGAAGATCTAACTGACCAGATTCACAATGGGGGGGGGGGATTCTAGTCAATTAATACCTATAGCCCAGGCTATAAAGATCTGCCAGTTGTTCCAAGACACAGCGGAGGCAATTTGCATGTTCTGTCTCAGCATGTTCTGTAATGAAACCCACATTTATGTAGGTCCCTCTCCAAGGTGCTGATTCTGCTTTGCCTAGCCTTCCATTACTATGCCTGCTATTATTAATATACAGTACTGTCCTTTGTTTGAAGATCTCAGGGCTCACAAGATAAAAGCACAAATAACTTACTTGCAGTAGTGAGCATCCCCATGGAATTGGGGACCCGTGAATGGTGCCTTGAGTGCATTCTGTGTGTACTAAATAAACAAATCCACAAATCCAGGAAATCCAGCTTCTCTGGCTCAAAATTGTTGGTGAATTTTAGTAAATATGAATGCCGTTTCTTCAACAGGCACCTGCTTCCACACCCTAACTCCTTGTAAGAGAGGGAAAGTCCCTGCTTCCAGTGGCAGAGCTTCACTGAGCAGGCCTGCCCGGGCGTGGCGTGCGTCCTGGGGGTGTGGTGCCCAGCGCAGTGGGGGTACAGCTGTGATGGCTCGCCCCATACTCCACTTCCTCCGCCACTGCCTGGGTCCGTTGCATATTCTGTGTGTAGAAATATTGAACTATGGAACTCACTGCTGCAGCAGGCAATAAAGGCCACCAACTCTGATGGCTTTGAAAGAGGGTTAGACAAATTCATAGAGGATGAAGCTATCAACAGCTTCTGACTGGGATGGCTATGCACTGCCTACACGGTTGGAGGCAGTCATGCTTCGGAATACCAGTTGCTAGAAACAGCTGGGTGGGTTCTTGTGCTTGAGTCCTGCTAGTGGGTTTCCTACAGGCCTTTTGTTGGCCACTGTGAGAACAGGATGCTGGGCCACACGGCCCATTGCTTGAGCCAACTGGCTCTTCTTACGTTCTCATGCAACATTTCTGTTCAGTCATGACTTGAAAAGCATCCCCTGTTTCCTCTATTTAACATTTTTTCTTTTCTTTATTATTATTATTTTTTAACTTGATTCGCTGTCCTTCATTTGTTGGGTATCTTGACCTTGGCCACAAAAGGTGGGCTAATTTCAAAACCAACTTCTGCCCTCTTGCCCCAAAGGCATTTTCATGAGAAGAATGCAAAGGTTATTGAATCACAGCTATCCGTTTTCACCTTGAAGAATTGCTTTAATAAATATAAAGAAATATTCAATTCTTCGACTATTAAAAGAGATATATTCTGATAGATTTCTGTAATTGACATATTCATATCATAGGCAGTGCAGTTTAGCATCTTTTTTTTAAAAAATATGCCTATGTTGATAGCAGAGGCTAACAAATTTAAGACTTGAGTAATGACAATACCAGTCCATAAATTCTAAAGTCCAATTCTCAAGCTCCACTGAATTTGCATACAAACACAACTTCAAGAACATTGTGGAATGAATAAATCATAATGTGATTTCTACACTCCTGCATGGCTGTCACTACTGATGCGTGTCATGTAATACATCCCTCTAAGCAAATATTTTGAAGGTGAATTTATCCCCTGAATCACTATGCTTTTATTTTACCTGCTTCGTGAGGTACAGAGGGTATAGAAGAACTAAAACAGTAAAAGCTAATTTAAGCATTATTGAGTTATTTTGCAAATGTAAGGTAAGGTAAAGGTAAAGGACACCTGGATGGTTAAGTCCAGTCAAATTCAACTATGGGTTGCGGCGCTCGTCTCCGATTTCAGGCCAAGGGAGCCGGCGTTTGTCTGCAGACAGCCTTCTGGGTCATGTGGCCAGCATGACTAAACCGCTTCTGGTGCAACAGAATGCCGTGATGAGTACCAGAGCGCACAGAAACACCATTTACCTTCCCACCGCAGCGGTACCTATTTATCTACTTGCATTGGTATGCTTTTGAATTACTAGGTTGGCAGGAGCTGGGACAGAGCAACAGAAGCTCACCCCTTCATTTGGATTCAAACTGCTGACCTCCTGATCAAGCAAGCATAAGAGGCTCAGTGTTTAAACCACAGTGCCACCTTAATGGGCTGAACAATTGAAAGAAGCCATCACAACAGTTTTGGTTACATTTTAACTTGTATGTTGATGAAAGGCAACAATGCTACTATTTTATTGTTTTGTTGTAGATTTATAAATGATTCTTAGTTTTATGTTTTGTAAGCCACTTACGGTATAATTTGCTGTAGAAGGCAAGTGGTGGTTGTTGTGTAAATTTGAAAGAAAGTGTTATCAGTATCATGCATAGATTTGGCAGGTACCTTGCTTTTGATTTTCAGACATTTTCTTTTAGATGTTTTATGCTGAAAGGCCTATGTAACTGTTTAATATTTTTGGCTTAGCCAGATACTTTAACAATTGTTTTGTACCGTTTTTATATTTCATTGTATATATTGCTATGCATTGCCACTGTATGAATTGTCAGTATACAAATACTTTTATAAATAATGATAAAATAACCCAGAAATCCTGTGTTTCCCAAATAAGTTCTAGTTCTGCCCTTTCCATTAAGCAAAGGTACGTTAGACAAGCATATTAGTAAAACAAGTTTATTCTAAGGATAGTTGCCATAGTGGTAGCTGTCTTCTAGTTGCCCCAAGGCAATGGCAGAGGCCAGGACTTGTTGGGAAATTCCACATCTGAGTGTATTTTGAGAAAAATGTTCTTCTTCTCTAGTGGAATAAAAATCATCAGCAATAAGCAAACTTTTCTTCCTAGGCATGTGAATGCCTGCAACTACTCTAAGATGCTATTGTGTTTGACCACTGATGCAATGATACCACTCTTCTGCGCTGGTTTGACCATGAATGGAAACTGGAGGTTTCAATTAAATGAGTTTTAACAAAATGCAAACAAAACATAAGCAGAATCCAACCAAAGTTAACCCTATTAGGGAGATTTAAGCATGTGCCAGGTCTTGAATGTGAGCTACATTTTTTGGGGGGGGGGGTTGGGAGGTGTAATCTTAGCAAGGCAGCCAATGTGTGTTTGGCCACGTAACTCTCTCCCGCCTGCCAGGAATGTGATGATGATTTGCTACTGTAGGTTAATTGGTTTTCTCATGACAAAGGAATTTGAAAACCCCCTGATCATATATACATTCCAAAAAGTTTAAGCATTTGTGTGCTGTTTCAATTGCATGCCCTATTTAAGTATGTGATATGTATTCTGTTCTATTGATTTCACTGTCTTAAAAAAACAAAAAACCTTTGACTATTATCTTGGTAGCTCAATAGCTCCCAAAGAATGTGTTTGGCCTAAATAACTGTTTTATTCTTGGTCTTGTACAGTTATCTTCTGCCTTAATATTGAAGAGCTTTTTAATTTAATGTTGAGGCTGGTGCGGGAATTTCAGGGTCAATGAGGATTGCACTTTTAAAAGTAATTTTCTAACTTTGCGTTCCCTGACAGATTCCTGTTTAACATTTGCAATTATAACTTCAGCAGCTGCCACCATTCCCAATGAGATTTAATGATTACTATTAATTATTTTCTGTCTGCTATCTTGGCAGTCGTAGATGTTTCGGTTTATTTTATAAAAACAAACATCTGCTGAGCAGTGTCACAGCTTCCATGCACATAGGTAGATGCAGAGGATTCCAAATTCAAAGGCAAACAGCTAAAAGCAGGGTTGTTATTAGGGATTCACATCACTTAAGAGACAGGTGACTAGATTCCATGGCTGCAGCCACTTGTCCAAAAGAGCAAAGAAGCAGCGACAGGAATTTAGCCAATTGTAAGTTGGCTAGCCAACAGGAAGCCAAAAGGAATCTCCTGCACAAGCACACAATGCTTTTTAAAGAAAAAAAGATTGCCATAATGACAGCGCACAGTGGATGTAGCACACTCGAATCTCTTGCAGAGGTTGATTCTTGTAATGTTGTCCCAGGTTCTGCAGATTTGCCCTAAGGACATGCGAGCAGACATCTGCGTTCATCTGAATCGAAAAGTTTTTAAAGAGCACCCTGCGTTTAGGCTGGCCAGCGATGGGTGTCTGCGAGCTCTTGCCATGGAATTTCAGACGGTGCACTGTGCTCCGGGGGATCTCATATATCATGCTGGAGAGAGCGTGGACAATCTTTGCTTTGTGGTTTCGGGATCCTTGGAAGTTATCCAGGATGATGAAGTTGTTGCAATTTTGGGTAGGTTCTCCCGTTACATTCTGTCTTCGTGTTCACATTTGTGTACCAAATGACAATGTTTATTCTGAAAGTGAATTCCTGTGTAGCTTCTTTCTTTCATTTTTTGCTTTTTTTAATCAGCTGTTTTGTTTGAGTTTCGCTTAGGGATTGTTTTTATTGTAAATATTGTTTGGTTATTGAGATTTGTTACTAGGGGTGTCGGAAGCTGAACTGCAGTGGAACAGAAACACAGAAACAAATACAGGGTAAAGTGGAAAATTGTTAGCCACCTTGAGTTCCTCTGAAAAAGAGGGAATGTGTTCCTAATAATAATAATAATAATAATAATAATAATAATAATAATAATATACACTATAGCTGGGGAGAAGCATACAGCTAGTGGTGGTCATCCATGACTTTATAATTCATTGGAAGTAAGGGACCCATCCAGCCCTCTCCCTCCCCATCCCGTCTTGTATATATATTTATTGCAATGCTGTTGTTTAACGCAGTATTTCCAGGCATCATTAACAGCATAGAAGCATTAAAGAACATTAAGACCTATTCTGTCAACCAAAGCCCAAAGCATTTTGAAATGTAGATTTGCTCTATTTTTAGCCCGAAAGTTCAGCCACACAGTGAGGGCACTAAGCACATAAAAAAGGTTTTGCACTTCAACACAGTGGAAGCAAAGCAAGGAGGGAAAGACCATGTGATAACCCATAAGATGTAGGTAAGTAACAAGGCTGATCCAGCCTTCAGGTGGTGATGCGATTCTATCACACCTTTCTAATGATAAAGTAAAATCTCACAGAGATGTGGTGCAGCGTCTGTTGCTCCCTTTAGCCTTGCAGAAAAAACAGCAGCCTAGCAACCTTAAATCTTTCAGAACAAATGTAGCTATCACTTAGAAGGAAATATACTGTCAGGAAAGAGAGAAGACAGAGCACTACAGTAGTACCTCGGGTTACATACGCTTCAGGTTACAGACTCTGCTAACCCAGAAATATTACTGTGGGTTAAGAACTTTGTTTCAGGATGAGAACAGAAATCATGCTCTGGCAGCGCGGCAGCAGCAGGAGGCCCCATTAGCTAAAGTGGTGCTTCAGGTTAAGAACAGTTTCAGGTTAAAAACGGACCTCCGGAACGAATTAAGTACGTAACCCGAGGTACCACTGTATACTATAGAGCAAACCCCTTAGATGTTGTTTCTCTCTCTCTCTCTCTCTCCCCCCCTATTTCTTCCTCTCTTTCTTTTACTTGGGGAAGCTGCCTTGCATTTGTATCTGAATTTGTCTCTCTGTCTCAACTAGGTACCCAAAAGACTGCTTGTATTCTGGCTCAGCCAATTATTCATTCATTCATTCATTCATTCATTCATTCATTCATTCATTTACCTACAGGGCAAATTATTTGAAAGGCATATATAAATAGTCTCAGTCACAGTTTGGAGTCCTCCAGCACACTGATGTCTCCCTCTTCCAAGCCTTTTGTTGCCAACAGTCCCCTTTCATGTTGTCATCCCCTCCCTCCCTGGTTCTCTATCTTCCCTTTGGGGCTCTGTCCAGGCCCCATTCCTCCCCTAGGCCACACCTCACATCAGACCTTGCATTCTCTCCCTTCCTGGGTTTTGTTGCTTGGCTGGAATGTAATCCTGTAAGAGCTCCTCTTTATTGCCTGGATTGACTATGCAGCCCCCAGAAGGTGGCCCAAGAGGGAATCATAGAATGGCTGGTGGCGCTGTGGGTTGAACCACAGAGCCTAGGACTTGCCGATCAGAAGGTCAGCGGTTCAAATCCCCGTGATGGGGTGAGCTCCCGTTGCTCGGTCTCTGCTCCTGCCAACCTAGAAGTTCAAAAGCACATCAAAGTGCAAGTAGATAAATAGGTACCGCTCCGGTGGGAAGGTAAACGGCGTTTCCGTGCGTTGCTCTGGTTTGCCAGAAGCGGCTTAGTCATGCTGGCCATATTACCCGGAAGCTGTACGCCGGCTCCCTCGGCCAATAAAGCAAGATGAGTGCCGCAACCCCAGAGTCGGTCATGACTGGACCTAATGGTCAGGGGTCCCTTTACCCTTTACCTTTACCTAGAGTTGGAAGGGACCCTGAGGATCATCTAAGAATCTCAACTAAGGCATCCATGACAGATGGCCATCCAATCTCTGCTTAAAATCCTCCAAGGAAGGAGGGTCCACAACCTCCTGTAGATTTTATTGATTAGAGCGTGACCTGCTAATTGATTTACGATCGGCACTTAGCTCCTTATAGCAGTCCGGCGCGCTTCCTCTGTGCATTCTCTGCTTTCTCCGGTCACGCCTCCGCAGAGTGAACACAGCGGCAAAGCTGTCACGTAGCTTCCACTTAGCTTCCGACAAACACACAGAGCACCGGTTTGTCTATAAACAGTCCTTTATTCCGACATGCCCCAGAAAACCCCTGGGCTACTCGCAGCCATGACAAACTGCGACCTTCTCCCTCAAAGAACAGAAAGGAAGAGAGAGAAAACCCCTCCCAGCTTCGAAAGCTGACGTCAGAATGCTGAGGCATCATGGGAACAACTTAACCTGTTAAGTTCCAAACCCCATACCCCCTCTTGCCGCACATTCTGACAAGACCTTTTTTTGAGTTCAACACCTTTCCCATTGCCTTTTGCCCCTTCCTGGCATCTTTCCCAGGCACCTGTTGAACCCCTTCAACACTCCCAGAATCACACTGTGCGAAACTTTCCCACGCACCCGTGACCTGATCCCTCTCAGGTGGAACACCCTTCGTGGCCCGAGAAGACCGCCTGGGCACAAACAGAGGTGTTTCATCTGAACCTCCCTCTGACCCACTTGGGCCAGCAGTTGTGTCTTCTCCATCAGACTCTTCCCCCTCTGACTTGACAACCCGTCTGTGAGCTTTCTCCATTATGCTAACCGGAGATGAAGCCTCACACCTGGACACTCCTTTCACAACCCTTGGAGATGCCCAAACCTGCCCTGAACCCTGATCCTGGACCTGGTCCCCATCACCGGGTTCTGAACCCTGATCCTGGACCTGGTCCCCATCACCGGGTTCTGAACCCTGATCCTGGACCTGGTCCCCATCACCGGGATCAGCCTCTGCCTCCCTTTCCTCCCTTTCCTCCTCAGAATCAGACAGACATTCTGAGAGAAAATCAGGACCATCCCCAGGCTGTGACCAACCATCCTGCTCACAGAACTCAGCATGCTTGCTGACCAGCAGCTTGGTCTGATCACCCTCTGGGTATGCAAACTTCCACCCATTGGTTGCAGGATCATACCCACAGAAGATCATTTCCTGAACCTTTGGACCACCTGCCTTCCGCTGAGCTGTTGGTACCGGCACAAAAGCCTCGGACCCGAACACGCGGAAGAAATGCACCTGTGGCTTTTTCCGGTGCAACAGAAAAAACGGTGTTTCCCCTATAACGTGGTTATAGGACCTGTTAAAAACAAAGTTGGCAGCTTTCCAAGCTTCACTCCAAAAGCTCTGAGGCAGCCCAGAGTCACACAGCAAAACCCTGACAGCTTCAGCCAGTGTTTCACTCCTGTGCTCTGCCACGCCTCTCCCTTGAGGAGACTTTGCACCCGTCACCTGGTGACGTATTCCCTTTTCCTTGAAAAACTCCTTCAGAGCAGACCCAGTAAACTGTGACCCTCGGTCGCTCCTGAACCCTTGCACCCTGGTGGAGAACCTTAGTTCCACCTCCGCAACCCAATCCTGGATCAGTTGCACCGCCTCCCCCTGTGATTTGAGAGAGAAACACCAGCCAACCTGGCTGTGGTCATCTGTCAGCGTCAGCACAAACCTGGCTCCACCCAGACTTTCACACCTCATGGGTCCTGACAGATCTGTGTGAACAAGCTCAAAGGGCTCTTTGGCTACCCTCCCAAACCCGGGAAAACCATGTACCTTTGCCCCTTTGCACGCCCTGCACCCTAGGGACCGCCTCCCACATTGTGTGATTTTACAACCTTTGGTGCAGCTGGGCAACTTCTGCACATCTTCCAAACTGGCATGAGACATTCTCTTGTGCCATACATGAACACATGAATCATGACTGGGAACCTTAGCACACTGCGCCTGTGCTTTTCCAGCATTCCCACCACCCTCCAGAGGTGATTCCAGAACAAAGAAATTGTTCTCCCTTTTCACGTTGACCAGTTGTCTCCCCCCTCTGAAAATGGAACAGGCATCATTTTCAAAGCAAATTTTGTACCCCTGCTTCATTAGAGCTGGTACAGATAACAGACAACAATTCAGTCCCGGCACAACGTAGACCTCTAGCTCCTCCTGTAAAGGAGAAAAAAACATGTTAGCCACATCAGAAACTGATTTTCGTGTTCCGTCTGCTAACATCACAGTCATTCCAGTTGAAACAGCCCTGCAGTTCCGCATTCCGCCAGCAGGCTTGCTTATCAGGTGACGACTGACAGTAGTATCCAAAACCCAGCGCGTCACCGTGTCCTGGCTAGAGTTGTTATTCACAGTTGCCATAGAAGCAGTGATAAGAAAACAACCCTCCCCAGTGTCTGAGCCACGTCCTTCCCTTGCGTTCCCACGCTGGCCTCCTCTCCGAGACTGATTCCCATGGGAAACGACCTTGGAAATTTCCTGCCTTGCCTCTCTGCTCCGGTGGGGGCAATCTCGACGCAAGTGGTCAGCTGACTTGCAAATGTAGCAACGACGAGTGGAAAAACACTGCCCGGGGCTCCTTCCAGCTGGCCTGGCCCTCCTTCTTCCGGAAAAGCACTCCTTGCCAGCTCCGCCCCCTCTGTAACGCCACTCCACTCCAGCACGTACAGTGGAAAACTTTTTAAACGTGCCTTTGGAACTCTTCGCCCCCCCGACCTGCTCACCAGCGCTCCTTGAGGCTAAAACATCAGGAACAGGGGCTCCAGCCATCTCTAGGCTTCTCATTCCTTCTCCCGGGCTCTGGCCTCCTGCTGAAGTTTCACAGCACATCCCAGACAGCCCTTGCTGACTTTACGCCCTTGCCCAACTTCTTAGAGTGAGC